AACACAGAAATGAATTCTGAGAAAAAACATTATCATGTATTTAATTAAATTATAATTGTATGCTCAGTCATGGGTGTTAACGATTTCAGTCTAGGTTGTAAACCAGTTTAACTAAAATTCTACCAACATTTCATTACATTTTATGTTTAGGTTCTTTATTCAATTTCATCTTGGGTCTAAAAACATTTCTTGATATGGCGCCTTAAGTAATACGCATGATTGGTCAACTCCAAATCAATCTAACAAACAAACCCAGTTTAAAGGAAATTCCCTTTGAAAGACTCATTCGAGACAATAAATGTATAAGGTCAAAGATTTCATTATGCTGTCGTCACGAGCAGCCCACAATATACATGTATTTAGATGTTAATAATGCGACCAACTAAAAAAAATGGAAATGAAACAACATCTAATTTGAATTAGATTGAGATTGATTAAATTGGCATAGTTTATACAATTTTTAAAATCACATTTCATCTGCAGGTAGAAAATCCGGGATAAAATTCTCCTAATATATGTTACTCGATTCCAAAATAAAGCTTGATAACTACATGTATATTTGAGTTTTTTTGGGATTGTCTTTTTTTAAAAAAAAAAAAAAAGAAACCGATATGTATTTAAACCCGTTATAACAAGCCCCTCACTTGATTAAGATGTACACAATCCCATGCAGATTTAACAAAACCTTTACTTTCAGAACAATCCTGCAAACGAACAGTTATCTAGTTTTTCGGGCTACTGGGTGCAGAAAAGGTGTTTGAAGATTACAACTAAACATGCATCCCATGAATTAAACATAATTTGTATTTAGTTTGAAGTTTCCAACTAAGTAAGCATCACATGCATTAAACATAATTTGTATTTAGCATGTGAAGTTGTATACGGCCGTATGCCTCTTCTAGATAAATTTAGAACAATCACTTCTACAAGATAAATTTAGAACAATCAAGAATATCACCTTCCTTTTGTAGATTTCAATTTAAAAAGTAACTTTACCTTGTCACCTTTTCAATAAATGTTAAATGTTTGAGAGATAACTTTTATTTTCTTTGTAGCCTTCTCAATGAAGTCAAGTAATGTGCTTTATGGTTTACTTAACAATTTCCCTAGTAAACATATCGCGTGTGCTTAAATTTAGTTACTTAAAACAATGACCCAAATTCTATTAACTCGTGAAATGTGTCATTGTTACACAATCTTTAACCTATTTAGCCACCCTTTTTGCATAGACTGCATCTATTTGGCTATCAAAGCTTTTCAAAGTACATTTTCATACCCTAATTAGATTAGACCTTTTAGACAGAACACGTAAAAGAGTCTTAAAGTGAGCGACAGATCAAACATCAACCGCAATTAAATTGGATGTGTGCTAAACAAATTGTCAATAATACAGGTATGCCATATTTGTGCCCCAAATACATTTTTTCAAGCGACTTTCTCGTATGCTTAAATGTATATACTATGTTTTTTTGGGGTAGTATTTGAAGTCCTGGATATTAAGCTGGCCTTATTTGATGACAATGGAAAAAAAGTATGTAAATCCAACCTTAACCCAAAGACTATTACATTTTATGTATCAGTGAACATTTTTAAAATGCAAAGACATGGGCTGCCTTAAGGATCGCTTTAATTCCCTTGGTTATTCATAGTAGATATTGATTTGGGCCGTTCTAAAAATCCTTTACTATAACAGATAAATTCATATCAAATTTTAGAACCCATCGACTTTTTTTTTATAATAGAGTCCCAAACCCCAATTGTAACTATGAATTGCAATACACGTAAAAAGTTATAATCATACCATAGTAAAATATAATATCTTTTTATTAAAAACCAACTTCAAGTCGTTCTCACACACACTTTCAAAGAAATTTGAGTCACTATAAGTACCCATTGAGATATATTACTTTATGAGATGTAGCTTTTATGAAAACCACTCAATTATAAATAGCATAGAATGCGAATAAGTATAAGTATGTATAATTTGTTACACGGACGTTTTACTTTATATATTGTATATTTTGTTTACCTACAAGAGGTGTGGTTATAAAAACTAAAATCACTTCATATACTATTTTGTATTTTTATTATTTAAACTGTGCAACTCTTTTCAACCTTTAACAGCCTCTTAATAGAAAAGGTGTCTTTCAGTAAGCCTTGAGCTATAAAAGGCATTTGAAGGGGTTACATTTTAACAGCGGTTGGGTAATAATGTTTACAAGCTTACAGAAATGCCATAATAATACGCCGGATACCTTTTCCTCCAGTAAATATAGTCTTTACTCTTTAAAGGTTTTTTTTTAATATACCGTTATAAAAACTCTTAGTCTCCTACGAAGAATATGTCTAGTCTCTTTTTATAAGTAATGTTAAAGCCTTTTCTTTTATCTCATTGTACGAAATATAGGGCTTCGTCTGGGATAACAAATTACATCACCCCATCCACTAGAAAATCTGAACCATGGTCTTGTTTAACATATTTATGACTATTGATGATTTAAATTATAGGTGGGTCAAAAAGAAGCCCGGGATTTATCAAGACCCGTTCTTACTTGTCAGAGGCTGGTAAGGAAGGTGTTGCTTGGTCGTGCGAATGGGATAGGAAAACGAGGCCCAATTGTGCAACACTGGGGTAAGCGCAAAGAGACCATGATAGTTTGAATTCGATCGAGAGTGAGCGGAGCCGCTGTCCGGGTAAAATTCTCCTCCGTAGCATTGGGTAATACGATAGAAATAGGAAAAAATGGCCGTATGTTGGTTTCAAACCGACAGGAAAAAATAATGTGTAACTTCCATTCCTATCGCTATTAATTATAGGCTATTTCTAAAACAACACATCTGAAATTCCCTGGAAGTGTACTGTTAAGGAATCAGTGGTGTATTTCATAGTTGAGGGTTCCCCCTCCACCCCCTACTTACCAGCTACACCTAAACTATGTGACCACCCATCTGTTCCGAAATCTTCTAAAAAGCCACTTTCAGATGCAAGACCCGGCTCACAGCAAAACATGTGCCCGAGGTCGGATGCTAATGCATTCAAAAATTATAGGTATATGTGCTAGTTGTAACTTTATGAATCGAAACATAGAATATATATATATGTATATATTTTTTTAAATTTTGAACAATGTAGGCTCATTGAAAATAATTCATTTACTAAACCCATCCCTTACTTAGTCATATTGTCATCTTGTCAATGGGTGTCAACATAGGAAACAGAATAATGTAATGAAATTGACTTTGCCCACTTTGTGGGAACGTCGACATCGTAGATATTTTCTTTTTACATAAGAGTCAACTTTGAGAATAAAATTAAGTCAAAGCACTAACAAACTAAAAACAAATCAATTCCATAAGCATTCATTTCATTATGAAAATTTATTAAGGAATAAGATTTTCTGGTTTGTAATTCGGGATTGGAGCAGCTATTGTGCCAGATCACGGTATCTTCTAGATGACCTTTCTATCGAACTTTATACTAATCGGTACCAATTCTTCAGTATTTGATTTGTTCTGATTTCCGCGTTGTATACGGAATATGGTTCTAGTGAAATGTTTCAGTTTTCTAGATGAACAGTATGAGGGATTGGAGATATCCTATATACGGGTCTTCTGATCAACCGACTTATGACTCTAGCGAACAGTGCCGATTCTTCATGACCATCTGTTGTAAGATTCGACCGAACTGTGTGGGTTCTTCAAGATCATTCCTATATATAATTCTATGTGTTCTTCACGAATGATGTATGATTTTAACGAACTTTCTCGATTCTTCACCATCGTCTAATGTTTTATTCTAGAAAGCTGCCTCGGTTCTTCATGATAATCTAAAATATGATTCTTGTGAACTGTGCCGGTTCATCATGATAATCTGAAGTATGATTCTTGCATGCGAATTATGCAGGTTCTTCTAGACTCTCATCTCGTGGGTAGCCGCAACCCGTATGTATGTTAATTCCACTCGGTCAGCAATTTCCATAGAACCTTACAAATCACACACAGTATGGTGCTTGCAATACAAACTGAATCTTCCCACTGACTACTTTCAGAGAAGGAGCCACGGTGGCTAAGTGAGTAAGACGCTGGCTCGCTAGCCTGGAGTTCGCGTATTCGATCCCGGTGTTGACCAAGAAAGTTCATCGGGATTCTTCGGCGTGGTTTCCCCTTGTCAGTGGTGCAGGGCGGGGGGGGGGGCGACAAGGACAGCTGTCTAGTCGTTTGGATGTGACAAAAGCCAAGATCCCGTGTATACATTGGCGTGCACGTAAACGATCCCTTGGCAGTTGGAATTTGGTATAAGTGTAGGCCGTAGCGCCGCTGTCCGGGCAAAATTACCCTCATAGCAGACTGGATGGCGTATGCCCGTTTTCATTAGCCCAGTCGGAGCAGAACAATAGGACGTTAAACCCCATTTCATTTCATTTCCTTTCAGACCACCAGTCGTGCCAGCAATTCATACCAATTCTTCTAGCAGATCAACGTTCTTGTCAACAGATCAAATTATGATACTCCAATGTACGATATGATGTGATATTATGCTGAATCAGTCTCGTGCTATGCGAGTTCAGTACCGATTCGTCTTGCAGATCAACTCATTGAGAACCCGCTAGTCTCCGTATTGCGTCAGAGTTAATGTTTAATATTTGAGAACTATAACTCCAAAGCCTTATTATGATTTTAAATTCCGCCTTCATTCGCCCGGTTGGTCAAATCACAATATAACTTAATTACATACATATACACACGTCAGTCAGAAAAAAGCGCTAGAGAGTAACCGCGAAACTAAGTCAGCAAACCAGACAATGCAAATTAATTATTTAAAAATAAAGGCTACTCTAGTTAAGGGCCTGAATACAAAATCACACAATTAGCATAATGATAAAGTTTATACAATGGCCTAATAATACTGATGATGAATGTAAAACTCCTCTGGCTATTTTAATATCATAAATAAATCAAATACTGTCATAAATAAAGACAATGAAAAAAATAGGACATACCTGTTGTCACATACACATAGACTCATTGTATGAAAATGGTAGTTAAACATGTTGTACTTCCATGAAAATCGATTAATCAAATGGGGACAGTGGTCATGTTTTCGACAACATGTGTCTGTACTTTCGTCGTAACCCAAATCGTGTATGTTTTCGGCTATGTCGCCGGTGCCACACCACTTGGTTCCTGGAAATATTAACCATCCCGAAAAAAGATCTCTTTTCGAGCGACTAGCAGCTGAAGCATCCCTTTTAGAACGTAAAAATGGCATTGAAACGCTTCTCTTGGATCGCTGATTATTCGCATGTATTTGACTACTGTTAGTTCCTGCTGAGATGTTATGAGACGAATCCACGAACTGGCTTTTAGGATCTTGTAGGATTTGTTTGTAGTTCTTTTTGTAAAAGGTTTGACACAGATGCGCTTGTCTTTTAATATTCACGTACTGCCTAAAATTCTTTAACATGTTTTTATGTTGTACATGTTTGTAGGCACCAGACATCTTTGAAAAGTCTGTAGACGAATACATATGAAACACATCCGTATTGTTTAAGTCTAGTAAATCTCGTTTTCCTTTCGCAAACTGTTCAATCAAGTATAAAATCGACTTTGAATTTTCTGTATATTCGCAATCTTGCATTTTGTTAAATTGGTAAACCGCTTGCACAATTCGTCTCCCATCTGTCACTTGACGCAAAGTAATCTCGTCTCCGGTAGTCCAAAACGCGGAGGTTTCCAAAACCAGAACATGTTTAAACGCTATCCGTAATTCCCTATGCTTGTGTTCATTAAGTGAAACACCGATAAAATTAGCCGACAATCTTCTGTGAGATTCTCCATTACAAAATGTCACCAGAAAAATATGGAACAAAAACACAGAAACTGTCCAAACCTCTGACATTTTTAACCACTCGAACAAGTGTCCATATGAACGATACAGGTTTGCTTCATATATTAGTACATGCAGAATTGAAATAAATCGTCTGCTACTGAGAAAACGCCGGCCCTTGAGCACGCGCAGTCATATTCTGTCTTAATAAAGAATAGGTGTAGAGAAAGCCGGAAAGGTGGCGGTGAGTCAAGTAATTGTACTACTTTTTTTATCCCGGCAGACATGAATTGTAAAGGGTGGGAACGAGGTTTGACTCCCAGCCAATAGTCAACGTTTTAAGTCAACAATTACATGCAATTTGATTGGTGGAGGAGACAAATAAACCAGCAAGAATGAATTCGTGTGATTGAGTAACGTATCGTCGTATATAAAGTAAAAAGTGTTCTTTTAAGTGAAAACCTACCGCAGAAACACAAACAATAAAGTTCAGCACAAAGGTGTCTTATAGGACCACAAAGTACATCTATGTAATATTTATACGAACGGGTTTTTTGTTTGGAAAAATAATACAGTAGAAAAAAGCAGAGTGAGACGGCCTTTCTCCTTTATGGCAAATGCTTAATATCCCTTTCATGCAGTAAAATGTATTTTAAAATATTGAATAAATGAAAACTGTTTCACGAAGGATAAAGAAAGGTTGATTATTAATCACGCAACAAAACCACTATCCCACAATACCATATACAAAAACAACATCAAAACTATTTTTAAAAAATAAGTTTCTCACTAAATTCAAAAGAAATCCTTCGGGTGTTATTCGAAAGCAAAAGTTTGATTAGTTCGGTGAATTTGCACTAAAACGCATTTTGTCTTGTTAGATGTATGACGACCGATTTCTCGAAAGTACAATAGCACTAGATCTGTTTGTGATTTCCCTTTGAAATGTAATTGTGTTCATATATTTTTTGATTTATAAAAACAAAACAAGAACAAATCAAAAGAAATAGTTTTAAATCTTAAATTGCTGTGTTACTCAAAAAGGCGAGGCCCTTTTGTTCAGGGAATATATAACTCAAGATGATAATTCATGTAAACTCCTGTTACATATCCATATAATTTTAGATTGACAGTTTGATAAACTCGCTCAATTAAATCTAATTCATTTTAATAGGTTATGTTCAGCTGGATCGTGTCATATTGTATAGCGAAACTTTTAGAAGTTGTAACATCATTTCACTGTCGGCGTTTACTAATTTGTTTGTTTTATTTAAACATACATTATGCAAGCGCTAAATCTGCCTATTGCAGGTCTTGCTTTAGGCCTGAAATGTCATCTAAATTATTAATTAGACATTTATAAACTTATTCAGACCATAATCAATCCTCGATGTCATCGCTAGCCTGTGATATTTACTGGATTATAATCCGATCTGCTGCTCAAGGCTCATTCATGATTAGATCAAAAACTGAATAATCGAGACTATGTTTTTTTTTATCGCACCGACCCAAAATTCAATCCTAAATTCTCGGTTCAGAGTGGATCAATTTGACTGAAATTTTCAGCAAATTCCCTTTACATTATCTAGTTTTTAACTATTATAGTGAGAACTATCAGCTCTTTCTAATCTCCCATAATGTATCTTTAACTTAGTTTCCCGTCTTCATTAGCCCGGTCGGTGCAGAACAGTAGGATGTTAAACCCCATTTCATTTAACTCGGTTAATATTGGCGTTCCCCAGGGTAGAGTATTGGAACCCGTGATGTTTGGCATGTAAAATAAACATCTAGATGGAAATGTAGTTCAACACACCACGAGCGTGATCGCAATGGCCAGAACATCAAGACATATTTCTAATAAAATGATACCCAGTATTCGTGAATAGAGATGACACTGACATAGTGAAATCAATTAGGATTGTGAACAAGATAACACTTGATTTAAGTTGTTTAATATTTTTTTTTTTTTTTTTTTTTTTTAGATTTGCATTTCCACATTCTCCCCCAAATTTGGGTAGGTAGTGGTATTAAGGCGGTAGTTATTCAGATTTATTTAAATGAATTTTTTGGGCATATTCGACTTTTTCAGATAATTAAGAAAAAACAGCTTTGTGGATTTTATCCGAATTTTGTAATCATTAAAGGAGCTAAGTCTCTAACTCAATATTTCCATAATATTCGAAATTATAAACACAAATTAGAATTCAATATTAATTAGTTTCAATCAATATTGATGTTGTTACCATGAAACTATATCCTACAATAAAAACACATCCTACAACATGGAAGCGGACGTTAAATAAAGCTATTTCACACACACACACACACACCCATACACACACAATGTGGAAGTAATTGGTAAAGGCTAATTCACAAACGACAAAATAATAATTTAAAAAAACGTGTAAGCAAGCATAAACGACCGCCGTTCAATTTGAACAGTTCAAGTATTGCACGGTACATAATTGATTAGAAAATTACAATATTTTTTTTAAAAAAATGCAATATAAATATTAATCTGTGCTTTTAGAACCATTTTTGTCTATTTCAAGGTTCCATACGCCCTTTCAGTTCATTGGGGCGAGACAAGGGCATCTTGAATACGATTTCGTTCTTATTTGCTCACTTAATGGATTCCAGTTAATTTTGATAGATATGTTTAAAGGAACATTGTTATACGGATGGGACGAGTCGAACGACTTCTTTTAGAAATATTGGATTTTAAGTACATGCGTGTAAAATATAGTTGCTCGGCCCCCAAAGAGGATAATTTCTTCCTAGATACAATTGATCCACTCTGAATCGAGAATTTAGCGATTGAATTTTGGGCCTAGCCTCGATCATCATTACAAAAGTCGGTACGATAATAAAAAACATCGTCTCGATTATCTGGTTTTTGATTTAATCATCAATGAGCGTTGTGCAGCAGATCGGGTTCTAATCCAGTAAATATCGCAGGCTAGTGATGACATCAAGAGTTGATTGTGATCTGGATAAGTTAATTAATGTCCAATTAATAATTAAGATAACATTTCAGGCCTAAAGACAGACCTGCAATTGGCAGATTTAGCTCTTGCATTAATAGATTGACATGTTATTATTACAACTATAAGAATGCCCAGGTTTAGAATCCAACACCGTTGTGGCTCTCTTCATGATATTTCGAGTCTGTGATTCATTTGCCAAGGGTTAGTCTTCGGGAATGGCAGTGATGGTTGTTTAATCGTCCAGGTTAGACGAGCAATTAAGACCTCGAGTATGAATTGGAAATCTATACTAGAAAAAAGTATGTGGAAACTTCACGTCACATAATAACGCACAATAAAAAATCACCATATTTTAATTGTACAGTTTATACAAACAGACATAATTACTGCCGAAATAAGCTTACAAGCATCATAACAGTGTAATTTTGCTTCAGTTGATTTGCTTTAAGTGTGTGGTGTACTGATGTGTGTGACATAATAATATAATATAATACAATATAATATATCTGCTTCTTCTTTATAGTAATTAAGTATTACTTTAAAGGAGAAATGCCAAATGTATATTAGTTCATAAAACTGGTTAATTCTGCGTGACAGGCTTTGAGAGCCCTTTATTCTTGTCAAAAACAACTATAGGAAGTTTTGGAGTATGTTCATTTTCAAATAAATACGAGTGTACGTTCGTTTTCAAAGAAATAAGAACATCTAATTGACCAGCAAACACCTTGTTTCTAGATAAACATATCTATTACCCATGCGCGAGTAATAGAATTGGCAGGTTATTGCTGTATTTTGATAACCCACTAGCAAACTTTACAAACGGTAGCAAATAAATGAGTTTATCGTGTAGGCTACTGAATGAGAGAGAGAGAGAGAGAGAGAGAGAGGTGGAGTTTAACGTCCACTCGACACAAATTAGGTCATTTCGGGACTAAAACATGGTTCAATTTTTGAAAAATTATTTGTAACTCCTACAAAATGACTTCACGATCATTTTCAAACGGTTCAGTATTCTGAGTTGACATAATAAATAATCTAGGTCTTTATATTTTCGAATTTACTTACGTCAACGGTTTATTTTGTTTTGTTTTGTTTTTTTTGGGGGGGAGGCTTTTTTGCGGGGTGAGAAGTAGCACTTCCCCTTTCAATACGAATGACACTTCAAACTTTGATGGCTCGCTACAATATTAAACCGGAAATAAAATACTATTAATACTAGACGATAATTTGAATATTAATAGTACTATAGACATATATATATACTAAATTTATAAGTTTAAGTGTACTTACTATTATTACATACAGTGACTAATATTCTTGTGTCTCATTCTTAAGTCTATATTTCCGCTGAAAGGACATGTACAATAGTTTTCATTCATTGCTAAATTCTTTAAACCATACCTTAATTGACAATAACCTGCAGATTGACGTTTAGAGAGATGTACGATGACCAAGAACGGTAACTCTGGTAGTATTAAGGCAGATCCCCTCCCCGTCCCCCGCCCCACCCCCACGGCTTTGGGTTGGCGTGTGAGAGGGCGGGGGATGTGCAACCATCGATTAATTAATTAATTAATTAATTAATTACTGGTTGGTTGGGGTTAGCTAATGTTTGTTTCTACAACCAGGTAACACCTATTTATGATCTGATGAGTTCGCCAAATCCAAAAAGAACATTTTCTATAAATAGATCATTTGAAATAATATTTTCTATGATTCAGTGCCATGTCAAAATTTTGATTTAGAGGTATGGCTCATACAGTAACCTAGATATTGCTAAGTATCCCCTTTAATTATGTCACATCCTGGTCTGTTTATCTAATAAATTACAATAGATGTCTAATGGGTATAGAACCTAAAGGTATTTCCTCGCTGGTTAGCGGTCTTGTTATTTTTACTGTTGTGAAGATTATAGGTATTCTTGTACTAAGGTTCCCGCCTTGTGTCGTTTCCCGTTCCGTCTTTTAAGAAACCGTTCTCGTGTCTGTTTCTAATGACGAGGAAATTAGAATCACATTAATTGAATCGACTGATTTATTTCTGGCCTAACCATTACCACGTGCCCCCACAAACGATTACCATTATCCTAAACGTAAAGGCTAAATCAAGTCAGCCCCAAACATTTGGACACCTCGTAACGTGCGCTTGGCATATGTTAAAGATATTTCCACCTTGAGCGTCACCTTTGTTCCGCTTGTGATCTCATCCATTCACCCACACACACCCTAAACCAGAGAAACGTGAGTGTTGTAATTAGAAATATATCTAACGGAAGACA